GGAAATAGTCTGCGACATATAGTAGTAAAAATGGGTGCAAGAAAATATCTAAAATATGGGAATAGTTAAGCAACTTGAGATATAATTACTAGATGGAATATTCAAACTTTTAAACAAGCACATTGATAAAAGGTTATCTTAAAGGTAAGGTAAATAGTGTGGGAAATGTTATGCTATTTTTAAAAGGAAAGTACAAAATGATTTTAAGACGTGTTTTTCACATTTTTAGTTGATGAAATTGGGATGTGTCTCAAAATTTTGCAATAGTCTTGACATAATTGTCATTGCCTGTACATTCATGAACTTCATCTCAAAATCTTAAGTTGACATCTGCTAATATCAAGCAGGGATTAGCATCAAAATTTGCAGGGGAGTCAGCAGCTTATAAGCAAATTCCAGGAAAAAAAAAGATTTTTTTGAAGTTTTAAACTTTATTAATATATAATAAATACATAAAAGTACAAGTACCGTTAACTATACTTAAGCTGAACAAAGTTTTACAAGTTGAATACACTCCTGTTATCAGAACCCAGACCAAGAAACAATATTACCAACACCTTTCAAGCCCCCTTTTTGAGTGGAGAACTCAAAAAATGCTGCATCATCAAGGTTCTTTAAATGGCACACAGAGTGGTACATGGAAAAACATGGGTATCTGATACCAAGTCAAACAGGATGATTCAGAAGAGTCTAATTCTGAATGCAAAAATCTAATTTTTAATTCAAAGAAGCTTATGTTATACTTTAACCAATTTGTTTCACTTTTTAAATGTATGAGTAACTATGTGATTTTTAAATATCTGTGATAATAGACTAAGAGCTCTCAGTGCATATGTTTTTCAATTCTAGTAAGAAGGCATTGTGTTGTAGTTTAAATGGCATTTGAGTTTTTCTTTGAGATACATAAAATAATGGTGCTTCTTAAACTTACAATTTTATAAATATAATAGGTATATGAAAATAGTTGTTCGGTTTGTGTGGTGGAAATAAAGTTGATTGGATTTTCTTTTATTGTACATATTAAGCATGTATTAAGGTCCTCCAGAGAAGCAACCAATAGGAATGAGATTGATGATAGGTAGGGTAGGTAGATAGGTAGGTAGGTAGGTAGACGATAGATATAGATAGATGATAGATGATAGATAGATAGAATGAAAAAGAAAGGAAAGAAAGAAGGAAAAGAAAGAGGAAAAAGGAATTGGTCCATGAGATTACGGAGGCTGAGAAGTCCCGTGATCTACTGTCACGGCTGGAGAATCAGGAAGGGTGGTTGTGTAATTCAGTCCGAGTCTGAAGGCCTGAGAACAAGGTCTGGCAGTGTTCCAGCTCAAGGGGAAAAAGCAAATTTGCCCTTTGGCTGCCTTTTTGTTCTATTAAGGCCCTCAAGAAATTGGATGAGTCCACCCACACTAGTGAGCGTGATCTTTCTTACTCAGTCTACTGATTGAAATCCTGTCTCTTCTGGAAAGACCCTCAGACACACTCAGAAATAATGTTTGTTTAGCCATCTGGGCATCCCGTAGCCCAGGCATGTTGACACATACAATTAACCATCGCAGAACATTTTATAATGTAATAAAATGTTTATGCTAAATGTTTTTTAAAAATAAAACATTACTTCTAATTCCATTCTTGGCAAGATCCAGTTTGGGAGTAGTTGCTATTCCTTATATCTTAAGTTAACATCAGATCCAGGATTGCTTTAAAAGGGAGCTTGACTAAGTGGAATGATAAATTATGGACAAAGTGGGAACTTAATTTTAGAAAATGTTACAAAAGGAGAAGTTTTAAAGAATTACATGAAAACTAAAAATAAATTATGATATTTTACAACTTCTTGTTTTAAGTATACTTAAAAAAGAATCTTCCTTTAGAAAGTTTTATAAACATTACCATTTTAATTGTGGTATTTTTGAACATAAAGAAAAAACTAGAAAATAATGAAATAGCTATCTCAGATTTATTCAATATTAATTTTTACCATACTTTTTTATTTTAAAGAAATAGAACATTGACAGTATAACTAAAGCCTCACTCCGCCATTTTTCTTCCCTTCTCAAGGATAACCACTATCTTGAAGTTGATGCCTATCATTCCATGAGTTATTTTTTCTTTACATTTATACATGTGTGTATGTATATATGCAGTAGACAGTATCATTTAGTATCTTTTAAAATTGAATATAAATTGTAACTCAACATTAGATTCTTGATAAATGAAGTTTCATTTTAACTGTTGTATAGTTTTCCATTGTTTATTCATAAATCCACAATTTGTCATTCTCTACTGAAGAGCAGTTACAGTGTATCCACTTTTTTACTATTTAAAAAGCTTTCCTCAGTAAATGTCTTTGTACGTCTCCTTGGACATACAGTTTTTTCTTTATCCAAAGTTTACAAAGAAATCCAGAAATGGAATTTCTAGGTTGTAGGGTTCATGATTCTTCAACTTTACTAGGCAATGCTTGTCAGCGCCAAGCTGATTGAAAAGGGAAGGCTTAGGTGGTGAGACACCCAGTTGAAAGAATGCACGAGGTGTTGAATGAGAATGAAATGGCAGGCACCAACTTTATTGTGGGGAGCACACCTCTGCTAGTTCATCTTCACCTCCCAGGGGACCGCTTGGGCTATTTTTATATGTCAGAACAATAGCGGAATTCAGCTACACATGCGTGATAAAAGCTGAGTAATGTTTACATATGTTAAAAGCAAACACACTACTACACTAATATAACATTCTAAGTCAGGATCATATTCCTAGCTGGGAGCCTGGATCACAGCCAGACCTTGGCCTAGCCAGACCTTGGGCCAGCCAGGCCTGGCGCCCACAATGCTAAATTGCACATTCTTACCAACAATTCATGAGTTCCTATTTTAGCACGCCCATGTCAATACTTGGTGTTATTAGACTCTAAAACTTTAGACAATCTATTGTTAATGATATGGTATCATTTTAATAGTAATTATGCAGTTGAGATTGCTTCACGTGGAATTTTGCCATTTGATTTCCCTCTTTTTTTCTTTCTGATTTTTAGGGGGTCTTTACATATTCCAGATACCAATTCTTTGTTAATTACTTATGTTTCAAGTATCTCCACAGATAGGCAATGCCATCTGTGTGATAAACTAAGTGTCCATATATACTTTAGATCTGAGAACTTTTACAACCAGTCCTAGATTCTTTTTTTTTTTATTTTTAATAGACTTTTTAAAGAGCAGTTTCAGGTTCACAGCAAAAGTGAGCAGAATGTAGATAGAATTTCCAGATACAATAGTATACTCCAGGCTCCCCATCTCCTTTTTATAAGATTCTCCTGTTATCAATATCCCCTACCAGAGTGGTACATTTGTTACAATTGATGAACCTACACTGACACATCATTATCACCAAAAGTCCATAGTTTAAAGTTCACTCTCGGTTTTGTAAAGACATGTATCTCCCATTACAGTATCGTACAGGATAGTTTCACTGCCCTAAAAATCCTCTCTGCTCTGTCTGTTCACCCCTCTCTTAGCCCTGACAACCACTGATCTTTTTACTTTTTAGAAAGTTTTGCCTTTTATGGAATGTCAGAGTTGGAATTCTAATAGTATGTAGACTTTTCAGATTGGCTTCTTTCACTTAGTAATATGCATTTAAGTTTTTTTTATGTGTTTTCATGGTGGGATCACTCATTTCTTTTTAGTGCCAAATAATATTTCATTGTCTGAACAAAATCACTTAACACATTTCTCAAAACGTATCCCCAACGTTAAGTGGGGCATGACTATTAGCAAGAAGCCTCAGTTCCTCTCTAGCTCTTGGTAGAAGGTCTCAGTTCCTCAAGTTAGGGATATTTTCATAGGCCTTCTTCGGTGACTTCAGAACATGGTAGCTGGCTTCCTTCAGAGGGAGCAATCCAAAAGAGTGCAAGGAGGAGGCCACGATGTCTTTTGTGACATAGTCTTGGAAGTCTGACATCATCACCTCAGCTATATTCTATACATTAGAAGCAAGTCACTAAGTATGCCCACAGTCTAAAGGAGGGAATTAGGCTCCACCATTGGAACGGAGGAGTATCGAAAATATGTGGATATATTTTTAAACTATCACACTTTTTAAACTGAACGAA